TACCATAAACACTAACAATACCCTTGTGATAAGGTCCTATAAATTTAATGTGGTTTTGAAGCTTTGTGAAAATCAATAAAAAATTAATATATTATTTAAAAACCATTAATTAATTGTCAATTAATTATATCAAATCATTTACCTCCTTTAAAAACTCATCAGAAATATTTTGAGAGTTTTTAATCTTTTTTAATGCTACATTACCATTATAACAATAATATCTTTCATTATTACTAATATATCTAGGACCATTTGACCAATAACACTTGTACACAGTTGCAAAACCACCTTCACCTATTCCTTCTTTAACTGTGAGTTGGTCATAAGGAATCCATTCAAGGTAATGATAACTATCAAATCCTTTTGCTTCAAGCTGTGTATTTCTGATTATTTCATCTAATTTGTCATTACCACTGCTAATCCAACTTTGAGCTAACAATTTGGGATCACATGATTGACACCACTGGTAATTAGTATTATACCTTGCACAAACAAAACATGTTCCATATTCTTCTTTTCTTTCTTTAAACCCCTTAGTGATATCTTATTATTCATTATAAAAAAATTAAAAAAAGAATAGAATTATTTTTCAACATAATAAAAATAGACATTCATTTAAAAGTTATAAAAAAGATAAATTTATAAATTATTTTACCTTCAATTGTTATTATAAATACAAAAAATAAATTTATTTAATTAGACAATGTGTTGTAAAAGTTATTTTATAATATAATATAATATTTACCAGCTGGTTATTATGAAGAAATAAAGAATATTTAATTAGATGATGTTATAAAAATTTATTTTGTTGTAAAGATTACTTACATGCTGGTTATTATGTTATTATAAAGAAAAATAAATTTATTAATTGATATTTTAATAAAAATTATTTTGTGTTGTAAAGTTAATTTTATAATATGATACTTACTCCCTGGTTATTATAAAAAAGATTTATTAGATGATGTTTTAATAAAATTTATTTTTATGTTAATTTATAATATACTACTTACCAACTGATTATTATAAATAAATAAAATAAACTTATTAATTAGATATAAAAATTATAAAAATTGATTTATAATACAATATAATACTTACCAGCTGGTTAATATAAAGAAATAAAAATTAATTTTATTTAGTTGTTATAAAAAATAATTTATAATATAATACTTACAATCTGGTTATAAAGAAATAAAAAAAACAAATTATTTAATTAGATGATGTTTATTTTGTGTTGTAAAAATTAAATTATAATATAATACTTACAATCTATGAAATAAAAAAACAAATTATTTAATCAGATGATGTTTACTTTGTGTTATAAAGTTAAATTATAATATAATACTTACTATCTGGTTATTATAAAGAAATAAAAAACAAATTATTTAATTAGATGATGTTTATTTTGTGTTGTAAAAGTTAAATTATAATATATTACTTACCATCTGGTTATTATAAAAGAAATAAAAAAACAAATTATTTAATTAGATGAAGTTTATTTTGTGTTGTAAAAGTTAAGTTATAATATAATACTTACTCTCTATGAAATAAAAAAACAAATTATTTAATTAGATGATGTTTTGAGAAAATTTAAAAAAAAGATCTGCATTTCAAGTAATTTACTATTGTTTTTAAAACTTTAATGGAGG